AAAGTCTTAACACTTGTGTGTCAAACGACTAAAAGCTTATTCTAACATGCTTACAGACATGTCGTACATAATCCTATAATACATACAAACAAAAACGTTGAATTATTAATACATAATTCACTGTAATAACTTTTGCTGTATTTGCGTTTAATTCGCGAAAAATGTAAACATCAAACTGCGTTAGAGATTTCGTAAAAGCTTTTCAAGGCGGTGTTTTTAGTATTTCTATATTCGTTTGTTTGTGTTTCTTGTTCGTGTCTGAACTTATTCATGCATCAAATGGGTAGTACATATCATCGAGATACTGTCAATAAGTAACTGATACATAATTTTGCGATAAAGCAAAAAATATACAAATGTGTTCAGATTTCCTAACTAAATAAGATCAAATTATTATTTAGTTTTTATTGCAATAACTGAAATTTATATGATGATATGAGTAACATTGCTGACATTATTAAGATCTGAAGCTTTTCATATGTTTATATGCGCGTCCACTATGGCTAAGCGCAGCTTTACCTAAACAATTTTTATTATTAAAATAATTAAATATTTATTATAGATTCAGCGAACAAATATTGTATTTATAATACTAAACGCCTTAATATAAAGAATTTATTAATTTTCAAATCGGTACCTTAAAACTGAAAGACTAGTTCGCGTTTATAGAGACTGACAGACAGTTTATATAGGCTTTCAATTAATGCTTCAGTAAGTCATAGTCACAGCTGTTCATATCTTTTCAGTTCTCTAAATTGTAGCTCATATATTCCGGTTTAAGTTAAATGATTCCAACCTATATTCGAACAAATTTCCAATGTTAAGATTCTATAGTGACTCATATAAACAGTTCTATAATCTATTTACCGCCATGTTTCTTCAGTGAAGCTGAAACCAGCAGTTGACTTTAAGGTTAGAAGTCTGTCTGAGACGTAAAAGTTATGTGATAAGACGCGGTAATATTGTGGGTGCTTCGATAATAAGAACCTTGAACTCCAAAAACTGATCGGCAACAATGGAGATCTTTCAACTATTATTCCCCCAAAGCTGTTTCTCCACACTACAGATATTTGCATGTACATTTGTACATATGTATGTATGTATGTATGCACCTTTATGCAGTTCTATAGCAGTGTTCGTGACGGCATGTAGCCTGAAATTCTTTTACTGTGGCATATGAATTATTTACACGTTTTATTATTGCCGGTAATAAAAACGTTTGAAGTTGCTTTCAATCGGCTGATGCCAGATGGGTCAGTGGAATCATCGCTTCATATTTCTTCAAGAATGATGTCGATGAGAACGTAACCGTCAATGGCGACCGTTATCGCGCCAAGATAACCGACTATTTGATGTCCCGCTCTTCCGATTTTTCGTTTTTGACTCACTTTAAAGCAATCCACTCTAATGTACATATTTACAAAATATATGAACTCCATTTAATTAACGGTACACGCTTGTTTTCCTAGAATTTAGCAAAGACAACATATGAACCAATAAATTGCGTACGCCATTTTATGTTCATTCCGCATGTGTTAATTTAATTTACGTGACATTTAGTCACGCGGTTTATACCTGGAATTAACATATATATACATATGTACATACATATGTATATGTATACACATATTTATACTCTCGCAACAAAGTTGCTAAAGAGAGCATTATAGTTTTGTTCACATAACGGTTGTTTGTAAGTCCTAAAACTAAAAGAGTCACATATAGGGTTATATATACCAAAGTGATCAGGATGACGAGTAGAGTTGAAATCCGGATGTCTGTCTGTCCGTTCGTCTTTCCGTCCGCCATGCAAGCTGTAACTTGAGTAAAAATTGAGATATCATGATAAAACTTGGTACACGTATTTCTTGGCTCCATAAGAAGGTTAAGTTCGAAGATGGGCAAAATCAGACCACTGCCACGCCCACAAAATGGCAAAAACGAAAAACCTATAAAGTGTCATAACTAAGCCATAAATAAAGATATTAAAGTGAAATTTAGCACAAAGGATCGCATTAGGGAGGGGCATATTTGGACGAATTTTTTTCCGAAAAGTGGGTGTGGTCCCGCCCCCTACTAAGGTTTTTGTACATATCTCGGAAACTACTATAGCTATGTCAACCAAACTCTACAGAGTTGTTTCATTCAGGCATTTCCATATACAGTTCAAAAATGGAAGAAATCGGATAATAACCACGCCCACCTCCCATACAAAGGTTATGTTGAAAATCACTAAAAGTGCGTTAACCGACTAACAAAATACGTCAGAAACACTAAATTTTACGGAAGAAATATCAGAAAGAAGCTGCACCCAGGCTTTCTTAAAAATTGAAAATGGGCGTGGCGTCGCCGACTTATGGACCAAAAACCATAACTCAGGAACTACTCCACCGATTTCAATGAAATTCGGTACATAATAGTTTCTTAATACTCTGATGACATGTGAGAAATATGGGTGAAATCGGTCCACAACCATGCCTGCTTCCAATATAACGCTATTTTGAATTCCATCTGTTGCCTTCTCTGTATAATATATACATTAGGAACCAATGATGATAGCGGAATAAAACTTTACGCAAATACGGTATTTGATGCGAGAGTATAAAATGTTCGGTGACAACCGAACTTAGTTCTTCCTTACTTGTTTCAATTGTAGTTTTCGTAGGAAACGTGTGGCTGCCAAAAATAGCGCGTTTGCCAGCAAAAACCCAGCTAGTTGCCGTGAACTCCAACTAGGCGGACACTTGCSAAAACATTAACCACCACCAGCAAACAATTCGCGAAAATATGCTTATTGGTAAGATCAATATCAAATTTTTGGTGACGCCCGGCCGTCGTCGTGCGTCTTTAATTAACAAATATTGTCTTTCAATTACTTTCTATTTGCATAAATAATAAAGCGTCACATGTTTGGGTAACTGTACAAACTTTATGGCAGTCAATTCGTCATATCAGTAGGAAGTGAAATAAATAATAGATTATATAATTTTATGTTTATGTGCAAATTTTAGGAAATACATACATACATATATATTTCTATTAGCATTGGGTTGACAAAACAAAGCGACTATCATATATTATATTTTTGTCACCATAATATATTTGCAATTCACTTGATTGTTTGCAGAAAAAGCTAAGTCAACATATGTATTACTTTATTTTATTTATAGTATAACTATTTTTAAAGTGCGAAATTGGTCATTCCTATTTCAAAAACTGAGTGAACTAGTTCGTATATATACATATGTACATACGGACAACTGAACTGGCAAAGTTAATTGCCCTCTGTTCAGGGTATAAATAACCGAGATATTTTTTCCAAAATGTACATGCTAAGCTGGTTAAAATTTTTTGCATTAGTATTCTTCTTTTTTTAAATTTGTTTGAATTATTTATTATT